GGCATGTCCAGATTTTAATGGGAAGGTGGCACGTCACCCGCAACCTGCAATCCGCAACCTGCAACCCGCAACCGCAACCCCCCACACATCTGGACTTTGGTATCGCCCCATCCTTTCCTTTCCTTGAATGCCACGTCCTCGCTACTCACCCTCTCGTTCTTTATTTCCACCGCGTCGTTCCCATTCATCTCAGAGTTGCCTGGGTACAGCACGCACAATACGCACAGCATTTCCGAGTTTCATCACGCCGCCGCTGCCGCCGCTGCCGTTGCTTCCAACCGCATATGCAGTGTAGCTTGCCGCGGTTCTCAAGCAACCGGAGCAGCCTAATACTACGCGACTCCTTCACTATCGCTTCTTGCTTATCATTGCATCCCGGCTTCTCAGATATACAGACTCGGTACCCTTATCGGATTGTCGTAAGCCAAGGCCTCTACTCTTGCTCTGGCAATCTGGCTAGTTGAAGCAAAGCACGCCGGTGCTTTATTACGCCAAGTCACCATCCTGTTGCTACCCCCGTCGGAAACATCATGGATTCTACCTTCACAACAGACTCTGATCCTGCTATGAAGGTTGAAGCCGAGCCCGGACTCTTCTATGACTTGGACGACCGCGAGCACTCCCCTATCATAACAAACACCCATCCTATCGTTAAGATTGAGCCCGACACGGAGCCCGAAGACGATGAGTTTGGAAACGATATGTCTTTTGCTACCACGGCATATGCTGACCAGGTTGTCAAGGCAGAACCTGAACCCGATTCCGATGAGCATGGGCCTGATGGCTTCAGGGATTCTCCCATGGCAGTGGTCGCTGATCCTGTTGTGAAGACTGAGCCTGAAGCTGACTTCACGGAATTCGGTCAACAGACGCATCAGGCATCTCCTCCTCCAGACAATGCTTTAGTCATCAGGCTTGATAGACCCCAGACTGTTCGAGTCCTTAACATGGGCCACACGAAGGACAAAAAGCTACTGAGAATGAAAGAGCAAGGTCGAAGCATCCTCACCTTGTGCCGACTTTGTCTTGCTGAAAAGTATGTCACTCATGGCGAAGAAATCGCGAAGCGCATTGCAGATGCCGAGCTATATCTTGATTGGCTAGAAACCAGTCTTGAAATGACCCCCCACATCAGATTTGTCACAAAGCTCGATTTGGTCCTCCAGAGTCTGATGGATCCGAAGCATAACATTCCGGCGTATTTGGTAAATAAAGCGCAGAATCTGTATACCAGATACACGGCCGAGAACTGGGGTCAGGATTTGGTGGTGGACGATGATGCTGAAACGCCTAATACCACCTCAATTGTGGTAGCATCTGCTCCAGGTGGAGCCACGGTTGGATTGGTTGAATTGCCAGCTCCAAATGATCCTATCTTTGGTGAAGGCGGTGTCATGTATGGTATCATTGTCGACAACGGTGGCAATGGCAGGTCAAGAAATTATCGACTCAGGGCGGATATCCCGCGCAGATCTGCTAAGGTTTACGGCCACAATGGTATTGCTATGGGCACCTGGTTTCCCCTTCAGATCAATGCTCTTTTCTGGGGCGCGCAGTAAGTATCTGAGATGAGTGTTTTTATCATTAGTGGCAGTTACTAACTCTTCTTGCCTTCTTAGCGGTTCACGTATGGGAGGAATTGCAGGCAGCGTAACCACTGGGGCCTGGTCAATCGTTGTTGCTAGTGCATACGATGATCTTGACAGCGACCTTGGTGATACACTTTATTACTCAGGCTCCAACAGTCATACGAACGATAACCCTCTCGAAGCAGCACCACCTAGCGCTGGTACGAGAGCGCTGCATGCCTCTATAGCCACAGGGTTGCCCGTGCGAGTGCTCCGATCAGGGGGTACGGGTAGTAGCGGAAGACCCCGCAACCACAATCGGTTTCTTCCATCGTGCGGATTACGCTACGATGGTCTTTATCAGGTCATACTGTTCCGGCAGAGGACCAATAAAAAGCATGGTCTCTATGATCAGTTTAAATTAGTACGTATGGAGGGACAGACTCCGCTAGAGGAATTGCAACGCAACTCTCCTACCGCCGACGAGGTCCGCGCTCTAAACCGACTGCGTGGAAAATCTTAGGGGCCAGGCAGGCAGCAAGGTGGTTCTAAGCATTTGCAGATCTCTACAGTGAGGAACATTCATGGGCGGCGTCTCTTACCTTTTGCTAGTTGCAGGTCTTTAACTCAGGGCTTATAGTTAGTTGAACCTAGTGCCAGCCAACATCGATGATGAATCAACAAATGTCCTCAAAACTGCTGTAATCTCTCCGGGTCTCCATGAAGATTTCGCGAGGGAAGCGCGAGGTGTTGGACCGAAACCGTGATACGCCTTGTAGTTGGTGATCAGCAAATGAGGTTGCAACGGCGAAGTTGACGATAGCCACTGGCGACAGTGTGCATGACAGTGTGACACGGTGATCAGAGTGTCGAGGATCTCCACTTTCTGGGTATGTACCTAGATAGGTATTGAATGATTCCTGCGCTCCCGATATCTCGACGCGTTCACGTCAAGGAAGCACCCATTGACAAACTCTGCCGGCAGCGCTCTATTCTCTAACTTCTCCTGACGAGCTGTGTAGGCGATGCATTAAACTTGGGCAATATTGGGGTTTCTTGGCGCGCTGCTAAGTGAGAGTGCTTGATAGATACCAGTCACATCGGTCGGGGGGTTTGGCAGCGACTTGACACGACCAACAAATATATGAATCCAGACCGATGGGCGATGGTCAGCTTGGATTCAGGAACCTATAATCAGGATCGAATTCAGAAATGTTGATAAAGGTATGTATGTCGGTAGGCATTGGTAATATCGGCCACTAATTACCATCGTGGCATCTAGATAATATAGAGACTAGCCTAGGTTAGATAGGTAATTACGCATCCAAAACTTTGACATTTGACACTCGTACGCAGATAACTACCATAATCCTTTCGCATCTAGTCTAGATACGCTTCCGTTATTTTCGTGCGGGCCTAATTCCGGAGCTGCGGACTTCGACTTCCGCCAAAGGGGTTATTTCGGCTTTCGGCTTTGAGGAATATCTAGTATCATCCGTTTTTGGCTTCCTTGCGGTTTTTTGGCCCCGCAGTCCGCCGTACCGACAGGGAGTCGGAAGATTACGTCGGGCTAATCACCAGCTATGACGTCGCTCTTATTCATTTGTTTCAGCGCATGAGTCGCGACAGCAGAAGAAGAAATGGTATATAAATTCGCGACCGAACGCACCTCGTCGCGTGGGAAAAGGGGAAGCTCGAATGGGATCAGCAGCTTCTTTCTCGTGTCTTTTTCCACAATCTCTTCGTTACGGAAAAAAAACCAAAAAAAAAAAGAAACTAAAGACGGTCGTCGCTCCTTCGAAGTCTAATTCTTTCGGTCTCCAGTCTCGAGAGCCATGGGTAAACACGTCAACAAGCTCGCTGGGAAGCACATCGTGGTCGTCGGCGGCAGCGGAGGCATCGGCAGTGCGGTCGTCAAGGCGGCCCTCGAATGCGATGCCCACGTGACGATCGTCGCGTCGTCTCAAAAGACGGCCGACGCAGCGCTCTCGTCGGTCAAAGCCGCGTACCCAGACGGCCAGGTCGTGGCCCTGGCTTGCGACCTGTCGAAGCCGACGATCGAGGAAGATATCGATGCGCTGCTCACGCGCGCCGCTCAGCTCACGGGCGAGATCGACCACATCGTCCTCTCGGCCGCCGACAGGCTCCCGCCTGCCGCGACGCAGACCGTCTCGCGCGACATTATGCTTGCGGCCAGCCAAATGCTGATGGTCTTGCCTTTTATGATTGGCAAGGTCGGGCAGAAGCATCTGAAGGGCGCGTCGAGCGCCCTGGATGCTGGAAGGGATAAGAGCATTACTGTTACCTCTGGCACGATTTCCGATACTCCTGCGCCGGGCTTCACTCTTAGCTCCTTCTTCGCTGCTGGGATCAATGGATGTAAGTCATGTCGGATATCAACGGGAGATTTTTCTTTTTTCTTTTTTTTTTTTTTTTTTTTTGTTTCTGTTTCGTTATTACAGTCTTTCGTATATTTATTCGGCCGCCGTTGTTCTTCTCCGAGAAATACACCACAGTTGAAAAAAAAAAAAAAAACAATCGGCTAACGGAAACTTCTCTTCCTAGTGATGCGCGGTCTGGCATTGGACTTAGCACCAATCCGAGTCAACTGCGTCGAGGCCGGCCCCGTCGATACGCCGCGCTGGGACGCCGCCTTCGAAGGCAGCGGTGTGGACCGCAGCACCGGTCTCAACAACATGTTCAAGGGCCTTCTCATCGGCCGGCCTGCGGTCCCGGATGAAATCGCCGAGGCTTACATGTACCTGCTGCGCGACACGAACACGACGGGCGAGGTGGTGCGGACGGGAGGCGGTCAGCATATCAAGAGGCCTTAGATTGGGAATATATCTAGGAAGTCTGGGATGTTGGGATGTGTGGTGGGGGGTGGTTATGGTTATTATTAGTAGAAGGAAAATATTAGAGAGAAAATGGCCAAGGGGGACTGGATTGGACTGGACTGGATTGGATTGATAGTCGGATAATACAAGACAGATAGATAGGGGCTTGCGACGACATGGCGGCTCCTCCACGCATAAGTAGAATTCGATTAGGTACCTAGATGTCGTGGGTGTTTATTGAAGTACCTAGGAAATAAATACTTGGGTGGGGAAAAAAAGACGAGAAAGGGTTCTTTCTTTTTTTTAAAAAAAACCAAAAAAAAATCTAATAATTGCTAACTCGGCGTGACTAGTTATGGTGCATCCCGGTGATGCTAGATAGGTATTTATTCCTACCTACCTACATAGTAAGAAGGTATCATGCTTCCTTCATTCAATGTGAGCCTGGACCCTATGACTAGTCGATCTACTACTACCGACGAGAGAAAAATGCGAATATAAAAAAAAAAATTAAAATAAAATAGAAGAAAGCGAAAGTAAAAAAAAAAAAAAAAAAAAAAAAAACTCCCGGCCATGAATGAGGAAAAACATCTACTGACAAGAGTGGGACTTGAACCCACGCGGATTGCTCCATGAGGAAAACTGTGCTAAGGTGACCTTAACCTCACGCCATAACCAACTCGGCCATCTTGCCCGAATGTTCGGGAGATTTGGAATGAGATGTGGGAAGGGCTATCGGCGGTATTGATGGTAGAGCCAGGGCTCCGAGGCGGGGCGCCGGTTGGTTTTGTGTTTTTTTTTTCTGAAAAAAAAAAAGTTCTGAAGTGGAGTGGGATCGTGGATGGAGATCGGGGGGGAGACGCGGCGCATCGTTAGTGTAAGTAAGTACCTAGATAAGCAATAGTAAGAAAGGTATCTAGACTACATAGATATCTAGGTATCGAGTTTAAGGTATTCAGAGAATCAAGAAGATGGCTTCCAGCTCCAAAAGTATTGTTTTCCGACTGTCTTGGTTAATGGGAAGCAGAATGGAATTGTGAGAAATAGAGAGGTGTCCCCCCCTTTCTTTTTGGCATACATATAATAATTATACATACTTTGTGTGGTGTATGAATGGGACTTCCTAAACGGAGTTATATGACAGTCGCATTCGATCGTAGATGGGATCGTTTTTGTTAATAAAAATGAAATGGAAATTTGTTGGGCTGTGATCATCAATCAACCAATCAATTAATCAATCAATTGAGTCAGATTGCGTGATGGACTCGTCCCCACGGCTCAACCGGAGAACTCTTTGGAACCATTCCCGGCTCTCGAGAGGATAAAGCGGGAAAAATACATGTAACTCACGGGTCTACGGAAGAAGAAGACGGTGCACACGCGAATTATTATAGAGCCGTTCTTATTAACCGGCGATGGGCACGGATTGGGAGAATTGGGAGAATATAGGCATCAATTGATCTGCTATTTAGCGGTGAATTACCTGCTGGTAGCAAACACGACGGAAACTATCTTGATGATGAGTGCGATGGAAAGGTGTCAACATCGTGCACTATTTGACGGATTGGGGAGATATGTATCCCGGAGACGGCCGGAGGATGGTGATCAAAAGAGCGATAAGAGAAACCAAGCCAGAGGGAAAGTTCGCAAGGCGGAACCGATCGGGGGAAAGGAGTAGAGATGGGGGACGCCGTATGATCGGAAAAGGGACAGGAACGACGAGAATAGGTAGTCTGGCCAATCTGCTGAACAGCCGGAACCGGTTGAAGAGGAGCAGAGGAGCTTCGTATATCGTCCGTTGCTCAGGAAAACTGAGGTGGCGAGTCTGGCTCTCCCAGCTTGAATGGCCATGGATCGTCTGTGGGTGGCGTTCTGGGCATGTTTCGACGCAGAAGCCAACGGGGGCGTTCGGTAGCGCCAATGGTTTGGCTCCGAAGGGGGGCCTTGAATGGACGCGGCGTCTCTGTATCAGCATCCATTGCTGGTTTTCGTTTGAATCGTCTGTGGAGCATCTCCGGTTCAGCAGGGGTCGCAGGGGTCGCAGATCCGGATCCGGATCCGGATCCGGCTTGCGACAGGGCGGAGGCGTTGCCTAGACCCGGGATGCTTAACTTGGGAGCCAACTCCGGGACAGAGCGCCAATATCCGCCGAGATCGTTGTCGGTCTGATCTTGGCCGTCGGCGACAGTACTGGGGCGTGCGGTGGGGGTATTGTCGACCAAGATCGGCTCGTTATTCCAAGTTGCGAACTCTGGAGTCTCCGATGGCTTATACGAGTCGCTTCGGCGTTGTCCTCGGAAGACAAACATCTTCCATGGGGCTGGCTGAGAGCCGGGGGTGATTGCCGGGCGCGAGGTGAAATCGCGAGTCGATAGGTTCTGAGCCTTGATGGCAAATCCATCCCACTTCATGCGTGCCTTCACGTACGCTTCGAGCATAACCGCGCGTGCCAGGGCGACAAACTGAGGCCAGAATCTCAGGTGAGCACGGCGGAGAAGATAGGCCGCAGGTCCGATGGCAAGAATGCCGTATGCGTAGAATCTGGCCTGATCGTCCATGTGCTGGATTGGCATCCAGACACAGACGAGCGCGGCCCGGTGATTGTCGCGGCCCGTGAAGTACACAATGACGAGGAACATCATATACAAGTCGAACAGGAATCCTTCGTCGGGGTAGTCGCGCATCTCCAAATACTTGGAGAGCATGGACGTCAATATGAATATGGGCAGATCCATGGAGACACTTAGATAGGTGAGACCATTACCGTAGAGGCCGATCATGGCCAGGTTGAAGAAACAGAGAGCGTCGTTCTTCGTATACAGGGTCTGTATAGTCATCCTAGAGGTAGACGTTAGCGGAAAGACTCAGGAGGGCGCGGCGCGGCGGGATGGAGTAGGGACATGGGATGCGACTGATAAGATGCCGGGCAGTTGAGGGACGCCTAGCGGTAGGGAGATGCGACAGGCAAAGACAGACAGGCAGGCAGACGCCGACGAGGTCATGAGAGAAAAGAATCGATGGAAATCCGGGGGGGAGGAAAGGTAAGCTTACCATGTAATCAGCGCCTTCATGATCCAGCGCGAGACATTCATCTCGCCCTCGATAGGGTCTGCCATGATGATGATGGTTGTGTGGCAGCACAACTTGTCGATTGTCGTTACAATTCAGAATCGCGAGGTGGTTTGCGCCGAACGAAAAGGAATGGGAGTTGTGGTTTTTTGGGAAAGATGAAAGGCACAAAGGAATAGAGCGGTAGATGGGATGGGATGGGGGGGGGGGGGGGGCTTTGTCCAATTAGTGGGTGGAGTTGAGCGTATAAGACCTGTTAGCAATGGTTACCGGCGCAACATATTACGAGATAATGGAGTTCATTAGGCAAGTGCCAGATAAATAGGCCTCAGGTACCAAAGTGACAAACTTACAAGTGGGAAAGAGCCCCATTCGTGCCCGTAGGTGTGTATATCTCAAGCCTCTCGTGCACCTACGCAGAGCCGATATCCTGCCAAACCCCGTACATTCAACCGTCTTCCCGAGGACTTCAATAACAACTCATAACACTGGCCGGGCTACGGGATAGATGTCATAGATGTCACTGTATTCTATATAAAAATAAAAGAGCACCTCCCCTTCAACCGTAGTCACATGGCATGTGTGCATTTACGATAAGGAATATAAATGAATATCTTTGTGGACTCTGGAGACGGCCTACACAGGGACACGGTACTTATGCTCTGATTCTGCCGGATAACCAGCGTATACGTCTCTTGCAGGTTAACAAGTCAACAAGAGGTCATCACAATGCGCCGATATATATCACGATAGCAATATGCGGCAAAACATAACACTTGGATGATGTCAAGATTCGACAAAGTCACGAGCCGAAGTCCTAGACGGATACCATAAATACTATACCGCCGCTCATAGATGCAGAAAATATACGCCCCTGGGGTAAAAGCCGACGACGACAGGACGGAGGTAGTTACAACTCGTACGATCTAGGAGTATTCACTTTGACTGACTTCCCTTCTAGATAGATAGGTAATAGGTTATAAGGAACTGTAGAGCTCCTAGCGCGCACCTGCGTAATCGAGTGCACAGACGACCTTGGGTATATAGTCTTCAACGAGTTGAATCTGATTGAATCACGAGAAGAGAAGAGTCTAAAGGGAATGAAATCCTCCTAGATACAAGACATGCGTCCTCCGTATTGCCATGTCTTCTTCTTCTTCCCTGCTCCTATTCCTGCGCTGCTCCAATCGTGGGTGCTAACCTACCCCTAAACCAACCGACATCGAAGTAACTTGGGCAGCGAAACTCACGAAAAAGAATCTACAAGAATCCCAATGGGACCAGAGAATCACCTGAAAGCAATGACAACCAAAGTCGCCGCTCAAAACTTTTGTGATATTCAAACACGGCAATGCTAAGCATAAAACACGCTCCCCTCCCCCCCAAAAAATGCAAAATATTGTTACAATAATGCGCGCAAATGACTAGCAAGAACTCCTGCTGTTTTCCATGCTTTTTGTTTTCTCTCATCCCTTCCCTTCCCCGTCTTCTTTTGTGTATTCCCCCTCCCAACTCTTCGCTCCCTCTCCCTTATTTATCTACCCGCATCCCTTTTAAAAAAACAAACATAGCAGTAAGGTTTTTTCCAGGCTTAGACAGCGACGGCGTCGAACTTGTCGATGCAGACAGAGAGGACCTCGCCGAGGACGTTGGCCTTGAGCTGGATGTCGCTGGTGTTGATCTCGACGATGCCGACGAGGTGGAGAGAGAGGTCCTGTTGTTGTCCACGGGTTAGCCACCTGATGGTGGTGGAATAGAAGGTTGTCAGAGATGATAAAGGAGGGGGAGGACTTACGTCGACGACGTGCTCGACAGCGCGGAGGTTGGCGGAGACGGAAAGGCCGACACTGCTGTCGTGGGCGAGCAGCCCGGCCTTGACGGTGAGGATGTTCAGGAGACCCTTCTGCGCTTCGGTGAACTAGAGAATGCGAATTTCGTTAGCAAGCAATGCTCAAGCTGAGAATATCGAGTTTCCCCGTAAGGTGGGGGAAGGGGGGGGGCTTTTGTTTTAATTACCTCTTGGAAGGCCGCGATGACGAGCTTGGCATCCGCTTCAACGCTGATGGCAGGGCTGCCCTCGATCTCCTTGGATGTCGAGGCACAGGAGCTGATGATGTCGCCGAGGCCGATGTTGATCTTGGCAAGAGGACCTTGACCAACGGAGATCAGGGCAGCGTTGCTGGCGGTGATGCTCTGAGCGGAGGCGTAGAGGGCCTTGGACTTCTGGGTGAGAATGTCGATCTCAGCGACGATCTGGACGGAGCCGAGAGCGGAAGCGGCAGAGGCCATGACGGCGCCGACGGAGAAGATCTTGGCGAAAAGCATCTTGAAGGAGTTTGTTGTTGTTGGTGTTTGAAAAAGAGTGTGTTTGGTGAAGGAATGTAAGTGCTTGAGATAAGCGAGTGGAAGCGAGTGTGGTTGGTAGATGTTGTTGGTGTTTGAAAGAGTGTGATGAGGATGAGGGAAAGAAAAGATTCGAGGTCAAGGTGATTCTCGACAGGTTTATATATCCAATGTCACCGCTCGACACGTCCGATACCTCCTCTACCTCCTCTGACTAGATACCTCCTCTCACATCTGACAGTTCGGGCCCCTCATTAGGGGGTTTAAGCGTTGGCAATGACT